ACTGAAGGGCAGCATCCCCTCGTGGACCTCACACTGTTTACGGGGTAGCACATAGAGAATCAGTGGAACATGATGTTCTCACAACGTGCGCTGTAGTAACTGGGATGTTAACAACAAGGATGCCTATTGCCAAAGAAGTTGACACGGTGCTCCTTCAGTTCTGTGCCTGGAGGACCAGTCCTAGGACCCACCACCGCTACCCAATCCAGTATGCTCAAGTCTCTTACATAGACAATGTGGTGTTCCCACAATACCGACATCTTCCTGGGCCACTGATCATCTCAACACTGAAAACCTCACCACGATAACAACGTGCGAGTGTGCATTATAATCTTAAGGACTAAGGGTGAGAAGGAAAGTCTGGACATATTCAGTACAGATGCAATTTCATTTTCAAGTGTTTCCAGTTGATGAAGAACCAGTTCCATGGGCGTCAAGCCTATGAGCAGAGGGCTGATAACAACAACTGCTGAAAGCCCCAGGGTTGATGATACTCTGAGAGTAAGAGTCACTGAAGCTGATGCAGAGATGTCTGTGAGGATGCTGTGGATTGAAACCAGGGTCTTGCCTCTGCTAAATAAGTGTGCCATGACTTGGCCAAGCCAGCAGCCCTTCCCTGGGGGATTCTAAACAGGAGCTCTACTGCTGTCACCCTCCCATAACTCCACACCTGGGGGTTCTAGCAGGTCATCTACCAGTGAGCTGCATCTCCAGCCCCTCTCTGGGGGAGTCTAGGTAGGAACTCCACCCACAAGTCTCTTCCAGCAGTGTACTATAGGTGTGTACTGGCTGCTTATCTCTTGGCTATGGCAAAATGCCAGACAGAAGCAACTATGGGAAGGAAGGTTTTGTTTTTGCTTCACAGTTTGAGTGGATACAGTCTATCGTGGTGTGGAAGTCAAAGCAGCAGAAATTACAAGTCCCATTGCATTCACATTTAGTCGAGGACTCGGGACTATCGGATGGTGACATCTCTGTTCAGGGTGGGTCTTCCCACCTGTAGTAGTTTGAATGTAACTGGCCTCCCTAAGCTCATAGGGAGTGGTACTCATAGGAGGTGTAGCCTTGTTGAGGAGTTATTACCTTGTTGGAGGAAGTGTATCACTGTGGGGCAGGTTTTCAGGTCTCATATGCTCAAGTTATGCCTAGTTCAGTTCACTTCCTGTTGTCTGGAGGTTAAGATATAGCTCCTTCTTCACTCTCAGCTCCTTCTCCAGCACCATGTCTGCCTGCATGCCACCCTGCCCCTACCATGACGACGATGACCTAAACCTCTGAAGGCCCCCAGTTAAGTGTTTTCATTTATAAGAATTACCATGGCCAGGGGGGCTCTTCATAGCAGTAGAAACCCTAAGACATCTCCTCAAAGAACACAATCTAGAAACTCCCTCACAGACATGCCCAGAGGTTTGTCTCCTAAGTGGTTCCAGGTCCCTTCAAGTTAATAATCATTGTGATTCATCTTGGGTTAAAGATAATCTTTTGGCCCATGTCTTAGAAGGTCTCATTTCTTCTATTATGACTGGGAAAACATGGAGGAGTTCATGGTGGGAGTTTGTGATAACAGAGACTCCTTACATTATAGTGGACCAAGAACCAGAGGTTGGAAGTCAGGTCTGAGGTATGACCTTCAAAACCCCACCCCTGTAGTGACCTACCTCTTTCACCTGGGCCCCGCCCCCTAAAGGTCCTCTCAAACAGCCTGTGGGGGATATTTTAGGTTCAAACCATAGAAGATGTGGAAGCAAACAGCGCCAAGCTCTTGGTCAAACCTATGAAAAGGACTAGCCTGGAAACCCGGAAAGCTTGATCCCTCTGAATGGGAATTCTCGTGGCTACCACCCATTCCTGGCTAACTCTCTCTTCCTTCCCGCCTCTCTCTCTGTCAGCTGGACTGGTTGTGTGTGGTGCATATATTTTGTATAATAGCAACAATAAAAGTGATTGTTTTTAATTTCTGTTCTTCTTCTCTATAATGGAGCGATTAGGGCATTGGCAGATTCCCTTAATATGATTATCGTTTTTGAATGATTTTGAGTGGAAATGTTTGTGCTAATGGTAGTAATTGCCGTTGAGTTTGAAAAGATGAGGATGTACGCAGGCATTCAAGAATCTCATCATCCCCGGCATGCTATTGGCTACGGCTCACATGGCTGGACAGGTGGCATGGATGCCTATGGTGGAAGTGAGGCCACACTTTGTTCTCCGCTCATCAATGATGAGGATGAGGCTGCCTCACCTGACACGGGACACAGCAGGTCTCAATGTGTCAAGCGGCAGCTTCCTGCCAGGGAACTGTTTCTCCCAGGCAAGGACAGCTGATCATGTTAAGTCCATTCAGATGGTCCCGGAATAGCAAGTGGTTATGGTCTGAACTGACTGGCAAAGACAATGCTGGCTGGCCCAGCCTCAACTCATTAGCGTAACCTAGGCTGGGTATGAATTAACTATGTAGCTGAGGCTAAACTCACTTAGCACCCTAGATAGGCCTTGTACATATGATGTGTTCTAGCCTGGTCTTAAGTTCACCACGTAGCCCAAGCTCTCCTTGAACTCACTATGTGGCCCAGGTTGGCCTTGAACTTATTATACAGCTCAGGCTGGCCTTGAACTTGAGACATAGTAAAGGGTTGCCTTGAACTCTCTCTGCAGGCAGGTTGAACTGGAATTCACAAACCCTTCTGTCTCCACTTTCCTCCTGCTGGGATTTTAAGTGTATACCACTATAGCCAGCTTGACTGTGTGTGTATCTTTTAGCTACCAAGTCTCCACATCTTTTTACCAACTAGTCACAATGTTTGGCTAAGAATGTCACTTGTTCCTAGCATTATGAGATACCCCCACAGCGCTTTCTTTACATTTGTTTCAAAGGGATCCTGCATCCCGGGGCCTCATCCTAAGGCTCCTTTCCACTTCGCCTTCCCACAGTCTGTCAGACTCCTTGACACTGTGGCAGATTCCAACCACAACTTCTTCACAAGATGCTATCAACAGTGGGGTGACTCCATCAGGACCAGCCTCCCAGCCCTTGTCTCCAAGTTCTGATGAAGTGCCCAGGATGCAGATGAACAGGACAGGCTTCCTCTGGTCTCCGGAGGACTCACACCTGCCTGAAGAGCTGTCTTTCATTAGTCCTGTTTCAGTGAAGAGGCATTTCAGCTTTGTTGGAGCAATATCTCGGATACCCGCAGACACGAGTACTTCCCCCTCTGAGTCTTCTCCCTTCCTAAGACACCAGCTTCCAGGTGTAGTGTCTCCAGACAGAGCATGGATACTGGATCCTTTGGATTTTGGACTCTATGTTAGTTATTTTACCCATTGCCGTGACGGAACACCTGACAAACGCAACTTAAGAAAGGAAGGGTTTATTTGGACTCACAGTTTGAGAGCACAGTCCATCCTGGCATTGGGAGCACGAGGCTCCTGGCCACACTGTATCCACAGTCAGGAAGCAACTAGAAACGATGCTGCTGCTTACTTTGCCCTCCCCTTTATATTCAGTTCAGAGCACCAACCCATGGGATAGTGCCGCCCTCCACTTGCGGAATCAGATCCTTTCTTCCCCAGTTAAGCCTTCTTCACGAGATACTGTCAGCAGTGGTGTGACTCCATCAGGATCAGCCGCTCTGGAAACACCCTCACAAGTGCAACCATTGGTGCGTCTCCTAGCTGATTCCAGACCCAGCGTGTTAACGTTGAAAATTAACCGTGCAGTATCCTCTTGTTTACCTTCATGCTTCAAGTTTAATCGTTCCTGTCTCCTTCCTAAGTTGAGCAGATTAGAGCTGCGGCTCATACTGAAATTCCTTTACACAGTCGCTGGTCCTCCACAGAGTCACCTCTCTTTTGGGAGTACAGTGAGAACCATTCTCCATGTGGTAGATGCAACACTATGCATACATGAGACTTTTTTTAAATTTTATTTATTAAACATTTCTGCCTCCTCCCCGCCACCGCCTCCCATTTCCCTCCCTCTCCCCTAAACAAGTCCCCCTCCCTCATCAGCCCAAAGAGCAATCAGGGTTCCCTGCCCTGTGGGAAGTCCAAGGACCACTCACCTCCATCCAGGTCTAGTAAGGTGAGCATCCAAACTGCCTAGGCTCCCACAAAGCCAGTACATGCAGTAGGATCAAAAACCCATTGCCATTGTTCTTGAATTCTCAGTAGTCCTCATTGTCCGCTATGTTCAGCAAGTCCGGTTTTATCCCATGCTTTTTTAGACCCGGGCCAGCTGGCCTTGGTGAGTTCCCAATAGAACATCCCCATTGTCTCAGTGTGTGGGTGCACCCCTTGCGGTCCTGGGTTCCTTGCTCGTGCTCTCTCTCCTTCTGTTCCTGATTTGGACCTTGAGATTTCAGTCCGGTGCTCCAATGTGGGTCTCTGTCTCTGTCTCCTTACATCGATCGCCTGATGAAGGTTAATATCCAGGAGGATGCCTATATGTTTTTCTTTGGGTTCTCCTTCTTATTTAGCTTCTCTAGGATCGTGAATTATAGGCTCAATGTCCTTTATTTATGGCTAGAAACCAAATATGAGTGAGTACATCCCATGTTCCTCTTTTTGGGTCTGGCTTACCTCACTCAGGATAGTGTTTTCTATTTCCATCCATTTGCATGCAAAATTCAAGAAGTCATTGTTTTTTACTGCTGAGTAGTACTCTAATATGTATATATTCCATACTTTCTTAATCCATTCTTCCATTGAAGGGCATCTAGGTTGTTTCCAGGTTCTAGCTATTACAAACAATGCTGCTATGAACATAGTTGAGCAGACTGGTTTTTACCCTATTTATCAGAGTTCTGGGATATCCCTAGATGTGAACACTCCTTGTCCTTCTGCAGCTAGAAGGCAGCCTTATGGAGAGATGGGGAGTGAGGAAATCAAAGGCTCAAAGAGGACTAGAGCAGAAATCCCTGGCTACCTTATGAGTGTCTGGGGAAAAAAAAAAAGATGTCACCTACCTATACATTGACAATCTTGCTTCTTTCTTTCTCCCACAGGACACCAGCCATGATTGGCTGCTCATTCGTGGTCAACAGGAAGTTCTTTGGTGAAATCGGTCTGCTGGACCCTGGGATGGATGTGTATGGAGGAGAGAATATTGAACTTGGAATCAAGGTGGGTAATTTGGCATGCCTTCCTCCTGGTTTGTGATATGAACTTCATCCTTGAGGTATGTTCCAAGCTTCTTAAACCTATCAGGTGTGGTTTGTTTATCCCAGTCCATTTCAGCGGAGATATTTAAGCAGAGACATTAAGACTTCTTCTTGGGTGTGGATGACTTGGGCTTGGACTGACCAGTGTATCTCATGTTTCAGTGACCTGCTCTGGATGCTAAGTAGAAAGCCTGGCACTTTTATCTTTTTAATTTCTTCTGAAAACCAAGTAGTCTCCTGAATTAAAATTTCTATCCAAAGCATTTTGATGGTGTTGTGGGTTAGTTTTAATTGTCAACTTGATACAACCTAGAATCACCTGGGAAGAGTCTTCATGAGGAGTTTTCTAGATAAGTCTGGCCTGTCGGCTTAACTGTAGAGGATTGTCTCTGGTTGTTGGTGGGTGAAGGAAGACCCAGTCCACTATGGGAGGCACTATTCCTTAGGCAAGGGACCCTGAACAGTCTAAGAGAGCTGAAGGCAAGCAGGGAATGAAGGGTGTATTTGTTCTCTCTCTGCACTTGGCTATGGGTGCAATGTGACCAGATGCTTAAGTTCTTGACTTGACTTCCTCCAAAATAATGGACTATAACCTCAAAGAGTAAACCAAATAAGCCCTTCCTTCTCAGTATCGATTTTGGTTAGGGTATTTGTCACAGCAACAGAAATGCAACCAGAACAACTCTCTACCTTATTCCCTAGAGACAGGGTCCCTGGCTGAGCCTCCAGCTCGACTAGGCCAGCAAGCCACAGCAGTTCTCCCTGGGCTCACTTTACACAGTCCTGGAGTTACAGCAATGGCCAGCTTTTTACTTAGGTGCTAGGGATTTGAACTCAGGTCTTCATGCTTGCACAAGTGTTCTTACCTCCAGATCTATGTCCCCATTTTTTCTTGAATAGAAGAATGATTTGAACATCTGTATACACTCTGATAACAGTGCCAATGAAGGGTAAAAGGTGACATCAGGGGAGAAAGTGTGGGGATGGGGGTGAAGCACTGTCCTTGCAGGAGTAGATGTGTGGCTGGAGGGGTCACCAGGGACAAGAGGGCCCCCCACATTTGAGGCCAATTCAGGCTGTTCTCATTGGCTGCAAAGCGTGTTGCTGAAGTTCATTAGAGCAATGCTCCTCTGCCCACACTCACAGACGGGTTTCCTTTCCCCTTTTCTTTTGACTCGTAGGTTTTGCTAGGCTCTCCTTGAAGCTGTGTGTCTTAAAGCTGTTTAGTCTGTGATGTTTTAATAGATTCCCAGTGTGAAATGGTCAGTATCATCGAGCTAATTAACATACCTGCACCTATGGAGTTGCTGCTGGCGAGAGATGAACATAAGATCTGATCTCTTAGGTCAGTGCTTCTCAACCTTCCTGACGCTACAACCCTTTAATGCGGTTCTTCATGCTGTGGTGACCCCCAACCATAACATTATTTTTATTGCTACTTCATAAGTGTAATTTTGCTACTGTTATAAATCATAATGTAAACATCTGTGTTTTGTGGTGGGCTTCAGCGACCCCTGTTAAAGGGTTATTTGTCCCTCAAGGGGATCGTGACCTATAGGTTGAAAACACTGTCTTAGAAAATTAGGAGTGTTTTGCTCGTTTGTGGCACCCAGAATGGAACCCAGGGCTTTGAGTGCCAGGCAAGTTTGCTGTCAATCCTTAAACTTTTTTGGTGTGTGTATAATGGACTCATTATAACTATACATAAGTAAACAAACCTTTCTTAAATTGTACATTCAATTTTTTCTATTTTTCATGTATGTAAATGTATGTAGCATACATGTTTTTGTATGTGTATGCACATGGAAGCCCCAGGTTCATGTATGGAATCATCTTCTATCATTCTTCCACCTTATTCATAGAGGCAGGATCTCCCGATCAAACCTAGAGTTCACCAATGTGAATAGTGTTGCTCGCTAGCTTGCTCTGTGGATCCTCTGCCTCCTCCTTCTGAGGCTGAAATTACAGATGGTCTTCCATGCACACGTGGCATTTGCATGGGTTTCTGGGGGTCTGAACCCCAATCCTCAAGCTCATGAGCCAGGCTTATGTCAGGTATTTTCATCACGGCAACAAAAAGTAGCTAACACACCAGAGCCCTCTGTTAAGCGAAAGAAATGGACATGCACTGCTCTGTTTTATAGGGTATATTCCTGGTTTATACAGCGTGGAGCAAACACTAGCTAAATAATAAATGTCCTGTTAGGAAATCGATTCCCATTCTACCAGGTCTGGTTTTACGTGCCTGCCATCCTGGCACTTAGAAGGCAGAGCTGGGAAGATGATGTATTCAAAACCAGCCTAGGCTACAGGGAGAGCTTGTGTTGAAAAGAAGAAAGGGCAAGAAATAAAAAGGAGAGAAATAAGGGAAGGAGGGAAGAAGAGAGAAAGGAAGGAAGCAAGGAAGGAAGAAAGAAGAAAAAAGAGGGGCAGAGAGAGGAGAGGAAGCGGAGAGGAAGTAGTGGAGAACTTTCTACATACACTAATACGATTTTCACTCATTGTACACGTTCACGTGTGTATATAATTTCACCTATAAAAATTACACAGAGGGCCGGCAAGATGGCAGAGTGTGTAAAGGGGTGCTCCAGGGAGCCCGACAGCCTCCAGAATCTACACAGAAGTTGTCCTCTGACAATCACATGTGTGCCACGGCATGGGCATGCCTCCGAAATAAATCAGTACATTTTAAAAAGGAAGGAAATAGCATAGACTCCCCAGGCCTGTGGGGTATTTTGATGTCTGACTTGCTATGCATTCTACACTTTACAGCAATGTTTGGTATGTGAACGCTGTCTTTTCTTGCCAGTTTTTTTTTTTTAAAAAAAAAAAAAAAAACAAAACAGGAGCCAGGTCCTTCTGAGATCTTTCTAAGAACCCTATGAAATCTGTTCCCTCCTAATCCTGTCCTCGGTGTGTAAGATGCATCAGAACAGGGAGTTTTCCTCTGGTTCAGAAAGCTAAAGAAGCAGAGGGAATGGTTGCTTCCATGCAAAGCAGCCAGATGCCTGGGACTAAAGCAGTCAATGGAGTGGCAGGGTCAGAGGCAACCAAGACCACACACTGCTCAGGGCTGGAAGGGAAAATAAGAGCAGAACTAGAAAGATTGGGTGTTTTTTCCTGGGTAATGTTAATCAGAAACCACTGCCAAAACATGTGACGACAGCATCTGGATCTTTTCTTATTATATTGTGTGTGTACACGTTTGTATGTGTATGTTTGTAAATGTGTGTTACAGTGTGTGTGTGTGTGTGTGTGTGTGTGTGTAGCGGTCAGAGGACAACTTATAAGAGTTGGGTCTCTCCTTCTACCCTGCGGAGTTCTGGGAATGGAGCTCAGGTTGTTGGGCATGGGGGCAAGCCTTTACCTACGGAACTAGCCATCTCACCAGTCCAAATCTCAGAATCTTAAGAGAGAAAAGATCTCCAAGGAAAGAAGAGATAAATTACTTTTAAAATAAGTTGAAATGAGATGTTATTCGATTTTTCCACTATATTAGTTTCCAGAGAAAAGGTATAATGTATAATGAACCCTTACGATATAGGAGTATCACTAAGCCTGGTCCTGCAGCTGTCTCTAAGAGGAAATGGAGAGAGACGGTCACTTCCAAGCTACCAGAAAGTGGAAGTTTACTGTCTTATTCTCCTTTATTCATGAACCTAAAGAACCCTCTCAAACAGAACACCAACTCGGTGTTCAATCTCATGGACCCTTGGCAGAGAATTCTTAGTCAAACCATCATATATGTTGAAAGAGGAGGGCTTGTTTGTCTTGGTCACTCAGAACTGAAATAATAACACAGAAACTATAATAATTAAACCATTGCTTGGCCCATTAACTATAGCTTCTTATTAGCTAGCTATTACATCTTAATTTAACCCATTTTTATTAATCTGTGTGTCACCACAAGGCTGTGGCTTACCAGGAAACATTCTGGCATCTATCTCTGGCAGGGCTACATGGCTTCTTCCTGACTCTTCCTCCTTTCTCCCAGCATTCAATTTAGTTTCCCCACCTAGTTCTGTTTCCCTATAGCTCTGCTATAGGCCCAAAGTAGTTCCTTTATTAACCAATGATATTCACAGCATACAGAGGGAAATCCCACATCACCTCCCCTTTTATGTTTAAATAAAAGAGGTTTTTAACTTTAACATAGTAAAATTACATATACAAAGCAGGTATCAAGAAAGAATTAAAGTTACAATATTTATTTTGTATATATGTATATATACTTTATATTTTATTATAACTAGGGAAAACTATAACTATAAATTCTTCAACTCCATCAAAGACTCCAAAAGGATATAATATTACCTAAGTAAACAATAAGTTCATTGTAAGCATCTTCCAAAACTCTAGAATTGACAGAGACATCTCACTGTCTGGACAGTCACCCAAAGTTCTTCTGTACCATTGGGGCATCCATCTTCAGCCTACAGGCCCATAATATCCAGCAGACTTTTCCGTGAAGCAGGAAATTTCAAAGACAGTTCCACCTATATTGGCAGTTTGTCAGTAACTCTCTTCTGTGTCCTGCAGAATATCTAGCAGACTCTTTCATGAAGCAGGAACCCCCAAAAACCATCTCACCTTTAGGCAAGTTCAGCAGTCATTTCTCTGTGGGTCCCGCATGTCCAGTTCATCAAGCAGTCCAGGCAAGAGCAGTTTCTTAGCCAAATGGCCAACCAACTCCATAAGGAGCCTCTTTGATGCCTATCTTCCTCTTGAAGTAGATTGGTGCTGCTGCCAGGTGCAGATGAGTCTCATTGTCATGAAAAGTTCTAAATTCTTAAAACACTTTAAATGCCATATTCTGTAGTCTTTGGAAGATTTGAAGAATCCCTATCCATCTGAAATTCATCTCTGTACATTTAAAAAAAATCTAACTAACATGACTACAAGCTTGATTATTATAGATGATTATCTATTAACATATATTTCTTGATTATAAATTACATTTTT